GCTGTTAAGCTTCGATAGCTTGTCTGCAAGTATCTGTTCGCTGAACACACTATTCATCCCACTTCAAATACAAAAGATGTGCATTTACCATGCACCGGAAATCAAACAACTGAACTCCCAAAAGGCTTAATTAATCCAATACTCAAAGAAAAAGTAGTAATCAAAGTCCGCGCTTTAAACCCTAGAATCCAAAAGATGAAAATGCCAACAAAAATAGGAAGAATCGGGGGATTTGATTTGGAACAAATGGAAAGAAAAAAAGAAAGCCCTAGGACCAGCGTCAGCCAAGAAAAACGATGGACGAATCGAGATTGCGACACGAGCGAATAGGGCTTTTTAAATTGCGAGAGGTTCTTGAGCTGCTAACTTTGACGAAAACTAAAGAATATACTATATAACTTCAAAAAAAAAATGTAGTGATTTGAAGAAATTAAATGTTACATACATTGAATAATTTTGGTAAAATTATTGAATTGAAAAAAGCATTTTAATCTTGGAAAATATCAATTTAGCCATACAAACTATTCTCATTTTTTAAAGGTCACTAATCTTTTTTTTTTTTGGATTCTAGGTCCTTAAACTCATTGGTAACTTGTTAATTACACCATTTTATCCAATTTTGTAGATTGTCAAGCTAACTTGTCATTTTACATGACAAATTGGAATAGTGTGAAACAAAAAACACACACACAGATAATATGTGTGTATGTGTTTTCTGCCTTGGAATCATGTTCTTTAATCATTCATTTTCTTCTAGGAAGTATGGGTTAGTTGTATAAGTTTGGATATGGATCATCATTGTTGATGAATTTGATAATCAAGCATCGGCAGCGTGTTTTTCACTTGAATTTTTCGGAGAGTATGTCGAAGTGATTGAGATTTTTCGACGGTGTATCTCTTGGAGGAGTAAATTCGGATGGGAAAAACCAGGAACGGGGTGGCAGTAGTTGATTTTGATTTTGTTTAATTTCTTGGATTCCTTTCTTGATCTTCTAGATGGACTTGATAGTCCACTGAAAGTATTTTGGCTTGGGTTCAAGATTTATAGGGTGTTTTTTGGGTTATGAGTTATTTCTAATTCGATTTGAAAGTTTGTCCTCGAATGGGTTTTGATTTGTTTTTGATTCGATATATCTCGGTTTTTTTAGGTTTGGGGGTGTCGATTTCTAGTTCGACTTGAAAGTCCACCAAAAGTGGTTGTGGGTTCTGGGTTTGAATCAAGATTTTTTGGTAGATTATTCTTTTTTGCTTGGTCGGAAAACGCAATTTTATGGATTGTTTTTTTAGATTTTGATTTCAAGTATTTGCAAGTTGTTACATTTGATTTCATGGGTTGTAGTTTTTTATTTGTAACCTTCAAGAAACATGTATGGATTTGTAACCTTCAATAAATGTTCTGAGTTAGTAGCCCTGCAAGAAATGTTTCCGGATTCGTGAACTTTAAGAAATGTTTCTGGATTTGTAACCTTCAAGATATGTTTTTTTTTGGAAAATGTTAATCAAAGTTTTCAAATCTTGCACTTGTTTTGATTGTTCGTTCTTGCCTAAGATTTTCAATTCATCAGAAGGGTCGATGTTAGCGATGAATGGTTGTAGGTGGTGGTTGAATATTTAAAGAGATTTTATTTAAAAATAAATTTTCAACTAAAAAAACTTTTAACAAAAAAAATCAGATGGATGTCATGTTAGCGCCCCGTTGACAACTTCAGTTGACCAAAATGTCATGTGGACTTTAGCTCACCTAGCCAACCTGATGACTCCTTCATTTTGGAGATATTCATCTATTTAACATATAATTTGAAAGTTTAAGGACCTAGAATGCACAAAAAAAAAAAGATCAATGACCTCTTAAAACAAATAAGAAAATTTTGTAAGGCTAAATTGATATTTTCCTTTTAATCTTCTAATAAAAACAACTTTCTGTCGTATTTGTAATAAAATTTACAACTTAATAAATACTACAAATAAACATATTAATCTTTCTATTACAACATTTAACACAATTGCATTACATATAAACAATTTTTTTTTTCAAGTTATAATACACAACTAGCTGTTTCGCGGGGTTCGGTTAAGACCAGAGTTTTACACTTTTGTTTATCGGTTATGTATGTGGTGTAGTCATAGATAGTGAACAGTATGCAGGGGCATTTTCGACAAAAAAATGTTAAAATCACGATTTTTTTAGTAAAAGAACAAAGGCCAAAAGTTGTTTTCGGAGAGTTTAATAACAATGTAAAAGCTGTACAAATTTTTTCAAATGAACAATAAAACACAAGTTGAAAGAATGTAGCTTCAAAACTGCTGCAAGTATATTATCAGGATAAGTATCGTTTTCATTCGCAAAGGGGAGATCGGTAGGTGCTCTGGATAAACGACAAAAATAAGGAAAAAGGAAAAAAAAATTACAGAAAGATGCATCTTCAAAGTAGTCACAAGTGATTCCATAGGGTTTCACCTGTTTGGTTGGAAAAATGTGACTACTTTCAAGATGCATCTTTTATATCAAGTAAACAGTTATGTTATATGTAACATGACAAGAAAAAAATGTGGCAAGTTTAATCTTTTTCAGGTGTAAAAAATTTGGACGGGTAATGGAAAGGATAAACTCACTTGGGATTTGCTAACTTCTGAAGTCAAACTTTTAGGTCAACTATATTCTTCTGCAAGGCTGGATAAAAATCAAATGGAAAATAAGTTTAATACATGTACATATACATTCTTCTAATCATTGAAGCCATATATCAATTTATAAGCCTATAATTTGAGTACATAGCTACATGATCATCATAATTGCCTTCAACGGGTAGTTAATTTCAATGAAAATTTGAAGAAAACGGATGAATACCTGTAATAAAAAGAAAAAGAAAAAGAGATTGATTCAAGTAAAAAGAATGAGAAATCAATCACTAAATGCAGCTAAAATGAACATAAAAACTGTATTTTAAATAAAAAAATTTTCATTATCATAATTTATCATTCTAAAGTCTGACTTTTACTAATATTGTAATGCTATCTTTTCCTCCTTGTTTTCTTTGATTTTTGTGGTGGTCAAGTCAGTATTTTCTGGTTATGTAACTGCTCCTTCAACACAACCATATGGTTTTACAAATGCAAATCTCTTTGAATGGATAAAAACTAAGATCAGTTAGTTATATTAATACATGCAAAATAGAATAAAAAAAACAAATAACTGTTAAAAGAAAAGATTAAAGATTAATGGGTGAGCAAAAAGTCATAACTAACCTCCAAATATTTCTCAGCCATTGGCCTTGAACAACCTGATTTCAGCGAATGGTGCAGGGGTTGATGTTGAACCCAGAACCCAGAGTATAAACAACATGTATGTCTTCTGCTTAATCATTAAAATTAAAAAGGTTAATTCAATTTACAAAAGTTTTCCTTTTATAATTACCCATCATGTAGAAGAAGACCCGTATAAATTATAATCGGTTCTACTGAGGCGGCAGCTGCATTTTTATACCATTTTCGTCAGAAGAAATAAGCCAATTAGTTACTTAACTTCCAAAACCAAGGGCATCCAAAGCACTGAACCTGAAAAAGGTCAAAAGATTATCCAAAACAAAATGAGTATACAAATATAATGATCTAACAGAAAAACGAAAGAAATATACTATATCAAACAAAGGAAATTATTATTACTTACTTTTTTAGCACTAATAAAAACTTCACCACCAGCATCAGACTGAGTAAGAACAATAATAAAATCCTTAAACACCATCATCATGTGTTTAGAGAAGAACAAAACGCATCCATGCTACATGTGCTGCAGCCATATCAATTGGATGGGTTCATCAAAAATGTTGATGTAAAAAGAAGAATCGGCAAGAAAAAACGGGATATTAGAAAATTATGTATGATGATAAAAAAATTAATGTATGAAATTATAAATTATAAAATAAATAATATATGAATAACTATTAAAATTGTTAAAGTGAATATTGAACTTTAAAATGTAAACAAACAAAAGCCGACAAAACTCAAAGTCTTGGTCATTTTTTGTAATTTTGTTTTTCTAAAAACTAAAGCTGCATTCAATGCATACAAAAAGGTAATAAATAAATATTTATGAGTAAAAGTTGCATCAGCAAACAGTAAAAATCTAAACCTGACAATAGAGGGCGAACACCTTGAAATCTCCATTGACATTATCGAACCAAACAATTAGCCTGAACAAAGGCACAACATTCATGTAAGTACCTGAGGCTAAGTTCTTATTTCAACAGTAAATTTAATAATGATACAAAAATTTAAAGGCACCTGATCATGAACACGGAATTGAAAATTGCAAAGCTATTGAATTTGTTGTTCATAAAATACTTTTCGCTTCAAACACTCTGTATTGCAGCTGAATAATTCCATAATGAGAAACAACATATTTAGAATAAATTGACTTTGCAAACAATAAGAGATTAAGAGTACACAGAATAATAAGGTTAAATATAAATACCCCTTTTGTTTTTCGCTCTAGTGAACTCCTTTCTTTGTTCAACCTTTACACCAACTTTCTTCAGAAGCACTTTTTCTTTCTTCTCTAGCATTTCAAGTGTCTGCAGAAATATATTCAATAATTCAGTATAAAAGAAAAAAAGGGGAAAAACATTAGGATCAATCCATGATTTAACACAACAATCATTTGAATCAAGACAAGTTACATAGATCTGGTGAAGTTACATTGACCATATGTGCAAGCAATGATGTAACAGACCAAAAATCTCTGTTTGGCATTTTGACAAACAGTTGGTGGGCATAATTCAGTTGAGGCTTTACTGAGCTTTAGAATGGAGAATCAAAAAAACCAACGAAATCAAATATGAAAAAAAGAGGTATGATGCTTCTTTAGCAGTTGAAGAACAATTTTTTAGGTAGTTATTGCTCCCTCCTATCATCGTTTTAACAATCATACAAAAACTTTACCCTAAATAACAAAATAAACTGATTTCTGGGTTGTAGTCATCGACGAAGCAATCAAGGCTCGATCAGTGAAGGAATGGAATAAGGAAATCAGGAGATGAAGCTATATTCGCACACCATGAGTTCCTAGGAGAATCACCTAGTTACCCAATTTTACTGAATTAGAGCAGAGAGGGAGAAAGAAAGAAGAATAAGAGGAAAATCAGAGACGTCAACTGACCTGTAGGGACAATCGGTGGTGGAGAGCGACGGTGGGTTGGACCATGGTGGTGAGCGACGTTACCTGGACTAAATTGATCGGAACTCGTAGCGATGGAATAGAACTGCCACGAAGCAATCGATTTGTGACACCTAAAGACCACAACGCCTCCAATCACCGCCACCAACAACCTACGTCGCCGCACCACCAACACCAGCAGCGCCGGAATGCGTTCTTCGTTCTTGCTGCTTCGCTGTCGAAATAAAGTGGATAAATCGATTGTGGTTTGGAGTAGCAGGGGTGAGACGTTAGAGGGGACACGAATCGGTTTAGATAAGATATGGTGGATTAATATGATTGGAGAAAAGAAAATGGTGGAAGCCAAGTGGAGTTTCGATAATGTGTGGTTGATGGCGAGAAAAGTATGAAGCAGAAATATGAGAAAAATCTAGAACATATCGATCTGATGCACGATCGTCAACACGTGCAGACGCAATACAGTGGGGGCAGATAAAGACGCGGTAGATTGCTAACACGTATAGACAAAGAATATACGTAATGTCAAAATATGCCCCAAATCGACACAGGGACCATTTTTGCCAAAAACTTGGCCAGTTCACTATTCATGTTGGTGAACAACTTTAATATATATATAATAATTACATAACATATACATAATTTTTAGGTTTATAAATACACAATTACATAACATATACACAATTGTTTGAAGTTATAAATACGTAATTTTCTAGTTCCCCAATGATGTTTTCATACGTATATAGAAATCAATAGAAGAATAAACAAAGTTCAATCCATTAAATACAAATAATCAAAGTTCAAGTTAAATCCATTTGACTTTATCGAAAGGTCCTGAAACCAACAATATTACCAAAAAATTAAGCAATTTACGTACATGGAAAAGACCATGCAATTTATGTACATGAAATTACCAATTTGGTCATTGGCTTTATCAACTAATTGTGGTTTTGTCAAAAGATCTTAAAAGCAACAATATTACTAATGAGTAGGAGGAAAAGTAGGACGATTTTGTAGGAGGATATTTAACTTCTCTTACCAAAAAAAAATAAGCAATTTGTGTACATGGAATAGACAATGCATAAAACCATAACATGCAAAAGATAATGCATAAAACAAAAAATTGATGTGGATAGCTGCTACATAGATAGTGATGGTCAAATAAATCATTAATCATCGGAAGTGGATAATGGTTCTTCACCATCAACTTGTTCAACTCCCGGTAATTAATGTATATCTTGTGCGACTCGTCCTTTTTTTTCACGAACAGAATCGGTGTTCCCCACGGTGACTGCCCGGCCTGATGTAACATCCCAAAAATCATAGTAAAAATTTTCATTTTTAAAACCATTTTAATAATCCATAAATCATTCAAAACATTTCCAAAAGCCATAACCGTTAATCAGAGTATCCCAAAATCATTTATCAATAAAATATCCAAGAATGATGTGCACAATCATGTCTTCGTCTTCCCCCGATCATCTAATGTACCTGAAACCATGAAATCAAACTATAATCCAAAGCTTAGTGAGTTCTCCCAAAGTACCCCACACAACAAAACATATATAAACATGCATGTTGGGTCCACAGTTTCCCGATTGGATTGCCCATATGGCCCACAGTCTCCTAAATGGATTGCCCCCGGTTTGTTAGCCTACAACACAATGTAGTACCGCCTCAACCCACCTGCACTATGTCGACATATGCAACAGATAAACATATAACCAGTAAATATAGGTAATCATACAGATCTACCAATCTAACAGATCACTACAGCATAGCATCATCCTATATACCAAGATACATAACACAACCTATTGGGCCCGCATTGGTGCCTTCAACCTACGAGTACAGTGAGAAAAACTCACCCCAAAGTCTTAAAGATTGTTGAACTGATCACTTGCTCCGAATACCGACTCTACAGGTCACCTAAACAAGCCTCAATCTATTATTCAAATTACCCCAAATGACATAAAGTCAAACTTGGTCAAAGTCAACGGTCAACGGTCAAAAGTCAAAAGTCAACATCAGACCGAATACGGTCTACGTGCTCTAGATCTACGCTCTGCATAGAGTATCTCTTGGCTTTTACGGGACAACACAGAGCTACGCGTTGCGTATCCAAATGTATGTCATGCATACTCACACTGAAACCAAACTTCTCATTAAGTGCATAATACAGAAACTTAACCATCCAATTCTCAGATTTAGTTTCTAATAGCTATATAATGGATAAAGTTTCCAACTTTATCCCTTAGGGTGGTCCAAACAATCAAGATCTAGTCTTTATGTCTTAGAGAGACCAAAAATGCATCTTTCTCAACTTAATTTATTAAGTCCAAGTCTCCAACCTTCATATCTGAATCAATATGATGTCTAGATGGATAAAGTTTCCAACTTTATCCATAACAAGGTCACAAACTTTCAAGATCTAAACTTTATGCACTAAAATTACCAAAAAGTGGCAAATATGACAAATGACTAGATCTATGAAACCAATGAGCAAGTTAGAAGCTTTTTACTCACAATGGTTTAGGAATGATGTATTCTTGTTGGATCTATACTTGAACTCTTCTTCTATACACTTTGTCATCACCTTGATCTTCAAGATTCAATCTTCTAATGGAGAAATAAGCTCATAAATGATGAAAAGGCTCAAAAACAAGTGAGAGGAGGCTAAGGTTTCTCAATGAATGTTCTTAGGTGATGGAGGCTGGTAATGAGAGGATTTCCCATAAGTTAGAGCCTTTAAATAGGGCTTAAAACCGAAGATTTAGGGTTTTGATATGCCCAGATTACGCCTTGCGTAACATAAATTATGCCCTGCGTAATTCATTAAACCCTCGTTACGCCCTGCGTAACTTTAGATTACGCCATGCGCAATCAAAAGCCCCTATTTTCCACTTCAAACTTCAAACAACAATAACTTCTCCATTTCAACTCCGTTTTCGGCATTCTTTATATGCACAAAAAGGTATTGATGAGCCCCACAATCCTATCTAATTACTTTCGAATTAAAACATACCAAACTAAAATCCTTATTTCATGAAAGAAGTCTGAAACATCATTTTTCCCATTTTACCCTTTGGCTCCAAAACACAAACCAAGGGCTTGGATCTCATAATCAATATTATCAACATCCAATTGGGTCTAAACCTTATTCCCTTGAAGCCCAAGGCCTTTATTTGATCCATTTATTGTCTACAATCCTGAAATAAGAAATTTCTCGAAACAAGATGTTACAACTCTCCCCAACTTAACGGAATTTCGTCCTCAAAATCCGTCTTGGTTAGGATCTCTGAAACAACGCCAACATCTTAACCATTTTGAAATCAAGGTATCTTATAAAGAAAACTCGAAAGACCACTCGGAAACCCACAACTGCCAACAAACAACCCAATAACTTGAAAATACTCAACAACAACAACTATATTTCTCTCCCTAACTGTATGACCCAAATTCTAGAGAAAACCACTCAACCGGAAACTCTCAGAATGAGAACTACAACCACAAACCAACTTCGTCACTATACTCCCCGAAACTAGGAACCCATCAATCTAAACTTCAAAAACCTTATCCTAAGACTAACGTCCATCTAATCATCGAACCTACCCCTAGTTCCCTGACTAGGAACACCACCAAACCATGCAGAAAGAACACTCAAACATCCTGCTTTTGAATTTCACTCAATCCCAAATCTAGAAATTAGAGTAAATTACACGACTGGTCCCTATGGTTGAGGGTAATTTGCGCGTTTGGTCCCTAAGTTATTTTATTAACTCGGAAGGTCCATGTTGTTTGTTTTTGTTACGCGCCTGGTCCCTATCTTACCTAAAAAGACTATTTTGCCCTTGAATTTTTAATTTATTTAAATAAACATACCCCAACCTCACCCCCTTCACCTTATCTTATCTACACTATCATTTTTTTCCTTTTTAAATAATAGTCTTTTTAGGTAAAACAAGGACCAAACGCGTAACAAAAACAAACAGTAGGGACCAAGCGCGTAATAAAAACAAATAGTAGGGACCTTCCAAGTTAAAAAAATAAGTTAGGGACCAAGCATGCAAATTACTCCAAACCATAGGGATCATTTGTGTAATTTACTCTAGAAATTATGCCAAAAAACCTTAAATATACTCTTGAATTCCTGACAAGTCATCACCAACCCACTGCCCCCATGAGCATAAGGATGGCCAATCCAAGAATTCTCATGTTACATCCAAATCCCTCATCAGTTCAGGTGTACATCCACCTAACAAAACGCTCAAGATATTTACAGTGCACTCCATGACTCAAGATTTCATAATCGATACCCGACATTGGTAACCAAGCTCCTAACATGCGTCCCGCAAGCAAACAGGGGTCATAATTCAAAGATTCAGCAAGAGACTTCTGATGCACAATTAACACTCCTAACAAACTTTTACTGTCCACATGATCCAAACCGGATGGTCACTGAGTCAATCGACTCCCAATCAATGCATTAACACCCGAACATACCAATAAGACTAACGATCTGAGACCTAAGAGTCTCAATTAAATGACTATCGGGTCTCACCCATATGAATCATACAACCACTGGTTCACGATACATCGTGGCACCTTCTAACCACTAAAACGATAAGCTCACGGTACTAATTTGATCTTTCCGTTATTTCATCGCTATCCTGAAGACTCACGACTAGCACCACAGGGGCCTAAAGATACACAACCATCAACCCACCGACTTGCAGAAACCCAATCAACATCCCTCTCAATACTAAGGAAACACTACAAGAGCCATAGCCTTTTATAACGCACCATTCCTTTCACAGAACAGGCTGCGGCAAACGCAAAATCAAATGAAAACATAGTCACACACAACCAAAGAATAAGGTAGGTTGTTGTACCCTTTTTCCAATTCAAAAGCTATAACCCAAAACCAATCCTAGATCTATTGCATTCCTTTTTCCTTACAACCTTACCCAAAGGGTGAAGTACCAGTAGATCTAACGAAATGACGAACCTCAATTGTTAACAGAAACATCCTCATAATTGACTGAAACAAGGCCCTACCCCTTGACTGAAACTGAACAGAATCCACCAATACGTAACTAGTTCGATAAAACTTCCAAAGTTATCCAAAAATGTTGCTAAAACCCTGGTTGGATCAATCCAAATACCAAGCCTGCTGATACGACATGCCAAAATTGGATTATGCATAGATCCAAAGCCACACCTGAAAAACTAAGCAATACTGACCCAACATTCGAACTTCCAATAACCAAGGACGTTTTCCAAACTCGATCCTGCTATGTACAATAATTCAACAACCAACAATTAGGGGTAAATGTACCCAGAGACCAAAATATGCAACATACATAATTTGAAGATAGGCTGACGCATCCATTGAAATTCCACTGATACAACTCGAAACTTTCAAAGAACCTCAACTATTAACGATGAACAAAAAGACCAATGATCGATAATGCATTGATGAATAATCCGCTGATCCAATACACTACTGAACAAAGCCCATGTTGAACAACACATACCAAAATCTGAAGTTGATTGACAGATCATCAACTGATCACCCTAGAGGCCTAGACTATAGATAACAATCTATACAACAAGCTAATAATCCCTCAATAACCGATACTCAAACCGAGCGAACTAAACACCTCATGACCTAATCATCGACGATCCCAAAATAAACTATTGGATTCAACGAGCTCCTTTTCCAATAGCTTCCTGCCGTGAAGACAACTCATACATTTATGAGCACATACATCTGATGGTAACTTGCTCTGTACCCCGACTTCACCAAATCTTGAACCAAAATCTCGCATACACGAACTGCAGATACCTATGACCCATTCTTCTGAAACCATAAACTCTAAAAGATCAATGACCCTCCAAGAAGAATACCCAGTTCTCCCTCACT